ACCAGCAACTCAAAAGTGGGTGATTCATGTCTGGTATTGGAGTTTTTGTTCCATATTCTATGGTCTTTGGCTAGAGCACTGGCAGCCCCAGTGTGAAATTTTCATTTAAACACTATGTATATGCATGCACATATAATTATATGTATTATATATAATTTTAGGTAAGTGGGTAATTTAGCTAAATATGATTCCTTTGGCTTTTCCAGAATTCTCACTGTTGTTTTGCCCTTCTCTCAACTCCTTCTGTGTTGATATCCCTATCTCCTTCCAATTAACACCCCCCCCCCAATTTTCCCATTTTTGTCTTCAAATTACTTTTAACTTGCTATAACTCTTTCAATTGTTTACTACCTGCCATGGTACTTTTTTTGCTTTCCGGGATCCTATGGTTACTCTGGGTTATATGCAGATTTGGAGTTAGAACCCACAGATGAGAGAGGATATGCAATGTTTCTTTTCCTAGATCTGAGTTACCTCACTCAATATAGTATTTTCTAGTTCCATCTCCATGTCTGTAAATGTAATGATTTCATTTTTTTCTTTACAGCTGAGTAGTGTTCCATAATACTTATGTACAGCATTTTCATTACTCATTTGTCAACTGAAAGGCATTTAGAATCTTCCAATTTCATGGTTGTTTTGACTGTAAAGGCAATGACCATGGCTGAGTACGTGTCTGTGGAAAAGGACGTCAAGATCCTTGCTATATATATGAAGCAATGATATTGCTGCATAATATGGGAGATTTAGTTTTAGCCTTTTGAGGGTTCTCCACACTTATTTCCAGAGTAGCTGGACAACCTTGAAACTCCACCAACAGTGAATGAAGTCTCCTCTTTCCTCACATCCTTTCCATAAGAATTGAACATGTATTTAGAAGCACAGAGAAATGATTGATCTCTGAGCTATTCCCGGGTTCACCAGGAAGCAGGAAAAAAAATACAGAATGTTATTTTGAGAGAAACAACATAGCACATTAAAACATAAATGAAGACTGTGATATCTTAGAATTAAATATAATCTTTTAAGAATGAATGAATATATACAACACATAGAGATGAGGTTATAAAAGACTAAATGTAGAAAACAAACAAACATCTAATTTGCCAATTTGTAGTTTTTCATCTTTCTTAAAAAAACTTTTTTGATGAAATGATTGTGGTCAAAGTCATAAGAGATACACAGGAGACAGTTAACCTATCAAATGATTTAAGTGACTTTGCCAAAAAGCAAACAGAGGAACTGGGCAGTACTAACATATAGTTTGCTCCTAGTCTCTTAGTCTATCATTACAAAATACTGTATGAAACAGAAATGATCAAATAGAGAAAAAAATCTTTCATCCATTATGTCTGAAATGAAGGATATTTGTGATGCATAATTCATGATATGGAGAGGAAGACAAATTGCATACAAATATACAAATTGATCCTAGGCAGATATAGGGGTATACAGTCCACTTTCACAGGAGAAGAATCCAAGAAACGGGTTTACAAGTATTCATAATGACCAGTCAGTCAATAAAGGGAGAAAGGTCTATTCTGATTGATTAAATCAGAAGTGAATAGGAGAAGTGGGTACTGGATGCTCAAAAAATTCATCTACAAACTTATTGAGATATTCCTTAAACATGCAGAGTATGGCTGAGGTCTCAGATGAGATAAGTTGTCACAAATACAAAATAATATAGATGGTAAGTTATGGGTCTGACCAAGGTAGCTCAAGACAAGTTAAATCAAGAGTTAGTTGTGTTTATTTTGAGTAGTTGATGACATTTAGTATGAAAGCCAGATTCTAGAATATTGAAATTAGCAGAGTTAAGAGAGCAAGGACAGAGGGATTCAAGTGTTATTCATAGCAGGTAAGAATTATGAACATGTGTCTGAGCTGGATAAGTAAAGAGTAGGACTGATGACTAGCAAAATGATAAATTATAAATGATCTAGTGGTCTCGATAGGTTGAGTCATTGTAGGAATGCCATTAATGGTAATAGTAAATGATATGGGAAATAGAAATTAGTAGTTATAGATTTGAATTATATAATATATTAATTCTTTGAAGAAAAAAGTTAGCAATTATTAAGCTACTAAAATCATAAGCACCTGGACCACCACTGCAGCTGCCTACACTGAGGTATCACATTCTTTTTTTTGCTATTAATGATCTATACAGTTAGTATACTGAGCAATTTCAAGCACTGAAATTTTTAAATTTTATTTTCAAGAAGGCATTTATAAAATTTATGTTCTTACATAAATGCTTTTTTCTTGAGTTATTTTGTAGTTAATGTGAGTTAACAATTGAATTAGTGGGGTGATGATATGGCCATGGCTGGGTGTGTCAACAAGCTACTATCAAGTCTGGTGACCTGAGTTTGATTCCTGGAACCCAAATGGTAGAGGGAAGAGGAAACTCTTGCAGACCTACCCACAAAGACACACAGAGACACATGTCATGTCATGTACTCTGCCCCCAATTAAAAAAAAAATAGCCAAGCGGTGGTGGTACACACCTGTAATCCCAGCACTCGGGAGGCAGAGGCAGGTGGATCTCTGTGAGTTCGAGGCCAGCCTGATCTACAGAGCTAGTCCAAGACAGGCTCCAAAGGTACAGAGAAACTCTATCTTGAAAACCCCCAAAAAATAAATAAATAAATTCATGACATGAATTTTTATTAGTCATAAATCTTTGGAGGACCATACTCCTCCTACCTTAACATACATTTGAAGTCTCTTACAATAAAAGATATTTAGCAGTCTACATTTTGAGATATTGGGTTAGTCAATGTCTAACATGTCAAATCACATGTATACGTGCATGTGGAATTGTTCTTACAAGGAGTAAATGACAATTCTGTTGAACTTAGTTGTTTGGGGGAAAAACTTTGCCTTTGTTTTATCTGTATGCTAGAAAAATACCTTACATTTATTTAGGAGGTTAAAAACTAAGCACTAAATGTAATTACACAGTTACTGTCATTTCCTAACCAGGATATACTTTCATCATATTAAATTTAAATAGTTAGGAAACATAACAAGTTTTTGGCACTAGTTCATTTTTGTGATTTAAAGCATATTTTAAAATGCAAACAACATATCGAGTGTTTTATAGGGTGGTTGCTTTTGTAGTCATCACAAGGCTAGATAGAGTTTTTCAACTAAGCAAATCTTAACATTGGCAACTCGGACAATGTGTATTACTTCAATGGATTTAAGATTGTATCTGGAACATGGGTTTGTTTCTAAAATATATTTACTAACCTAAATTTTATGAATCTACCTATATCTATCTATCTATCTATCTATCTATCTATCTATCTATCTATACATACATATATTTTAGGAGTATAACTTAAGTGAGTATGAATATATATGTATGTGTATCAAGTTATACATACATACCCATATATACTGATTAAATATCAGTGACAGTGGTTGTTTTCTCAAATGAAAAATTTAAGTCAAAATGTCAAGTCTGAGACTATTTTATTAAAAAAATTACTGATGTAAATGCTTTTGGTTTTTCAATGTACTGCATTATTTCATTGTGTTTCTCAGTATATGGTTGAATGGCAGACTTTTTAGGCATCAGGAAGGAAGTGGAGTTCTTGGGAGCATTGTATTTTCCCAGGAAGGAAACTAGACAGACTGATCCTTCTTCAAATGCCACATCATCAGCAAAGGGCAGATCCTGAACTCAGATTCTGACCTCAGCGCTGTGTTCTTTTCATGTGGGGTTGCAGAAGGCATTGAAATTCTTCAAGAGTGTACTGCAGGAGCACCATCAATGGGAAGTTCATCGTGGAGAGGGCAACCAGAGCTTTATGACACTCTGCTGGGGAAAAGGTAAAAAAATCAAATATGTTATTCAATGTTCAGAGGAACAAAAAAAAAAGAATGAAATATAGATGTCTTTAAAATATCATCTTGTAAAGCTAGTAGCATGTCAGTCAATCCATTGTGTTTATTTTGAGCAAACTGGTGACATTTGGAGAGAAGGGAGGGCTTTGGCAGATTTCAGTAGGTGGTCAACTTGACATTTCCAAATAATGTCTCACTGGGCTAATAAAGTCTGTCAAGACCTGCAGGTTCCATTCTCATTTTATTCATTCTGTGCATTTAAAGTAATGCTCCGGTAAATCACAGCACATAGGCAAGTGCTAAGTTCAAGTGTTTATACATACTAAAATTTTAAGCCTGATGATTTTTCTATGTATATCAGACAGGAGAAATGTGAGTGATTTTCCTGGAACTCTGTGTTTTTTTTTTAAATAGTTTAATTTCATTTTTCAGCATTGAAATATTCAGTCTATCTCCAATTAAACAAATTATATTTTTTAAATAAGCCCCACAGCTATTATCACAACAGACTCATGGGGCTTGGCAATCAGCAAAGAAGATGGACATCTGTTACTGGAAAAACAAACCAAAATAAATTGAACCACCATGGATGTTGCTGTAATTTAGTAATTAATTGATATTTTACAGCACAAATTTGTACTACATAACATCAGCTATGTGTTTATAATTTGTTGTTTATAAGACACCATCTTACTCACGTGCATTTCATCAGTCACCCTGCATCCTAAAACCCTAAACTATAGGTCTACCCATCTACCCAATAACATCTTTCTTCAGTTATCTGTGACATTGTGGACATTGACTGCAATACAGTCAAATTCTTACCTTTCTTCTTTTTCCCTTTGTATTTGATTTCCTTTTGGTTTCTTCTTTCCACATCCAAGGAGACCCATTCTTGCTTATCAGTATAGGACTTGAATCTGTTGTTGATTCTGATGATGACAATGTCCATCTTAGTGTATTTTTATGTTGATTGTCTTCTGTTAAGAAAGAGTATTTAGAGTAAGCAACCACGCTTCCTCTGGTCAGATGTAGAGGAACTATAGACTCATTTCTTATTGCCATCCATGACTGGAGGCTTGGGAAAGTGGTTTGCTCTTCCACATTCAAACATCTCCTCTGTTTATCCAGGATATTTTCATATTTGAAGATCACAGTGAGTGTTAAAGAAGGGGCTTTATCTTTCTAAACATTGGCCAGCCCCTGTCATAGAGTTACAGTACATAATGAGGACCACTTAAGATACTTTTCTTCATGACTGCAGTCTCCTTCACACTGATTCTTAAAAGAAGGGGCCTTCTCTTGCTTCATTCCCAACCGAGATGAGTCCTACTGGGTTTGAGAACAATGAAAACTAACCTCTCTTCTATGTCTATTGTTCCTCCTACCCTTTCAGCTGGAATCAACATGATCAAGTAAAGTATGTTATAACTCTTTTGTCTCAAACTATTTTATGAAAAAATTTAATCAAAATCTCCTGTCAGAGCCTTTTATAAAGTCATCTCTGACCCAATAAAATGGGCTTACAAGCCTACTGGTAAGACAAAGCTATAGATTAACTGTTTCACCAATTTTTCATCCTAGATATAGGAGTCTTAATTCCCTCCAAGGTAAGATATTTTTGCACTTAAATGGGGGCAGGAAATATGTACAAGTGTTAGACCTTCAGCTTCTCAGTCAATAAAAGTAGCATCTAGTTTCTTTTCCCACATTTCAAATATCTTTTATTAAAAAGTTTTAATTGATGATAAATATTCTCTTGGATACTTCAGCATGCCCATAAATAAAATATATAATATATACAAGCATTTTTCACCATTGGTATTTTAAACCATGATCAACCTTGAGTTTTCTTTGGATGTTTGTGCTGCCATTCTTATAAAGAACTATAAATGCTATGGCTCATTCATACCGAAATGTTCTTATATGCTGAAGTGTTTCTATCAGTCAAGGTTAATTTTGCACTTAGCATCTTGTTCAGTTATACAACACCCTCACCTTTATGTTTCTAGGACATATTCTGTATTTTCAAAACAGAATAAAAACTTTCTATACTTAAATATTTGTGCTGGTAATTGCATAATTACTATTTCCTTTATAGTAGTTATAAAAGTTTCATTCATAATGCATATAATACTTGAGGGTCTACTAGGTGTTAAACACTTCCCTAAGTTTTATAAGTACATAGAAAACATAATAGATAATGTATATCTTGAAGTTGTTGCTCTCATAAGGAGAGATAATGAATAGCTAAAATATGTAGTTATTATGCTAATCTTGGAAATAACTGTGGCTTAAGTTGGTGAGTGCATAAGACCATAGGGAGGAAAGTACGATGAGAAGATGAGGGGATAGCCATGAATGCTTGATTTGAAAGACCTGCCGACTTCCCCCAAATTATACCTCCAAACCTCTCAAATGACTTCTCTGAAAAACTGATAATTTTACAATCCTGTCAAGAAAGAATAAACATTATGGAGTGCACAAAGTGCCTTAGAACATCTAATCTTTATACTAGGCTAAATTTGCTTAGATTCACCCGTAGGAATAGGGAGGAAAGTCACTGAAAATTTATACCCATAGCAATATAAGCAGTTGATTGAGGTTTGCAGTTTTGTGACAGAACAAACATTTGATCATGAGATGCCACATCCCATATCTTCCAAAGTACAAGGAATGGTAAGAGTTGAAATGTTTAAGCGTTCATGTTCTTCAGTGGTAAGTAACTAGTAGGTTTTATTTAATTTAAAAACTATAATTTTCTTGTAACCTTGTTTTTCCATGTATTATTTCTGGAAGGAACAAACTAAACTTTAAACATAACAACAAGCATAAAATAACACTTTCTCCCTGCCCAGAGGAATAGAAAGGCTAGCTCAAAAAAAAAAAAAGTGAAGTAAACACTGCTTTCACATGAAAACATTTTGTTAATGTTAAAAAGAGACTGAATTCATTTCTCAAATAACAAACAGAAGGACATTTGGAAAAACTTGAATGGCAGGAAATTGTAAGAGAGAGAGCCCCGGGAAAGGGTGTTTTAAACCAGAGTTATTTTTAAATAAAAAACATTTAGGACTATTTGTTTGAAACTCTATTGAGGTAAGACAACAGCCAAAAGGTTTTAGAAGTCTAATCAGACTGTGCTCCAGAGCCTTGAAATGAGTTACTTAAACTGATACAGAAATCAGAATTTCAAACACCAATGATAGGGAATGATGTATTCTGCCAAGCATCTATTTTTGACCACCAAAGATGCTCACATATTAACCCATATCATCTGGCTGCTTGGTATTTTCAGATCATGAATTTTTAGATGCTATGGAGTGATGCTGCATGAAAGGACATCTAGATTTCCTCTTTGCTGAAATAAACTATGGGCCCTGTTCTGTAGTAGCCATGTGTACACAAATGCTCCTTTAGAAAGTCTTTCTGGGAAGATAGAAACAGTTTCCATTGGGCTGTGAGGTATCATTCAGTGCACAACTTAAGAACTAAAGTTATAGTATTACAATAGTTTATTGTTTTGTAAAGTATACATTAGCTTAGCTGTAGAAAATAGTATTCAGATTACTATGCTTAAACATGAATTACAGGTTAATGTGGGAGACAAAACATTAAATCTAGGCTTAATTTTTAACAATGAGAGTTTGGACAATAACAGTACATAGATAAATACACCACAACGATGGTGATATCACTCTGTATGCTGTCAATATGCTGCTCTGATTGGTTGACAAATAAAATGCTGATTGACCAGGCAGGAAGTATATGCAGGATAAGCAGACAAGGAGAATTCTGAGCAAGGAAGGCTGAGTCAAGAGATGCCAGCCTGCTGTCCAGGGAGCAGCATGTAATAGCACACAGGTAAAGCCACAGAACACATCATGACATGTATATTAACAGAAAAGGGCTGAGTTTAAGTGTAAGAGCTAGTCAGTGGTAGGCCTGAGCTAATGGTCAAGTAGTTATAATTAATATAAGCCTTAATATAAGCCTCTGTGTGTTTACTTGGGTCTGAGCAGCTGCGGACTGGGCAGAACACAGAAAAACTTCCAGCTACACCACAAAGTTATAGCCATTTTGTTCAATACTCTTTATGGTCCGTGACAATGCCTGTCATTTAGTAGGTACTCAATATATATTTATTGAATGAACAGATGTGATGTATATGAGTAGAAAAGTGATCTACATATTCATAAAGTATGTAATGGAACATGACACATAATGAGTGATTCATGAGTCACCTCCTTGTTTGCAGCTCAGTGCTGTGTTCAGTGGTGCTAGCCATCAGATACTGTGATGCACAGAAATTATGAGAGAAGACAGAAAATCTCTCCTTCTACCGTTTTTTCCATTTTTCACTTGCTTAGTTTCTGAGTTTGTCCAAATTTGTACTAGCAGAGCTTAGAGATAAAAGATAAGATCTGTCCTTAGTGAAGATAGCATACCCTGATGAAGACAGACAGACAGACAAACTGTTAAATTAGATGAGACAAGTGATACAACAGGTTGTGTGAGTGTCTGTGCATGTGTACCACTGTGTCAGAGTCTGTTGTATCTGATTTGTCTCCTGGCTCCTAAGATAAACTGAGTAGGGATGAATCTACTAAATTTATCTCTAATGATAATGCTGATTCTGAACTTACTTCCAATTTTACTCTAAAAATGATCCTCAACTGAAGAGTGGATAAAGAAGACGTGGTACATGTACACAATGGAGTACTATTCAGCAGAAAAAAAATGTCATCATGAAATTTGAAGGCAAATGGATGGAACTAGAAAATCATCCTGAGTGAGGTAACCCAGACTCAGAAAGACAAACATGATATGTACTCACTCATAAGTGGATACTAGTTGTAAAGCAAAGGATAACAAGACTACAACCCACAGCTCCAGAGATGCAAGCTAACAAGGATGACCCTAAGAGGGATGCTTGAAAATGCAATAATTAAGAGACTGTTCCCTTGTTCATGACTTTTTTCAGTGAATTTTTAAGTTTTCACATTACTATATATAGCTTTCAAGAAAAAAAATATGGCCAGGTAGTGGTGGCACACATCTTTAAACCCAACACTCAGGAGGCAGAGCCAGGCAGATCTCTGTGAGTTCGAGGCCAGCCTGGTCTACAGAGTGAGATCCAGGACAGGTAGCAAAACTACACAGAGAAACCCTGTCTCAAAAAGAAATAAGAAACTGATTCTGTGCATTAAGTTAAATCACATTTTAAATGTATGTTTGCTTTTGCTTTGCTTTGACATAGTAGAAAATTGTTTGGTTTTTATTTTTCTTGGAATTTCTCTGTTTCCTTTAACCTGTTGCTTGTTAGTGTTGTGTTTTCCTTATATTTTATGATTCTCCTTCATATTCCTCTACCATGATGTCTGTAGGATATGATACACAATTATTGGATCCACTTAAGCAATATCAAGAACATATTTAGTTTTGGTTTAGCAGAATACAGTTGAATGGTTCACAGTAATGTGAGGATGTAGGTAAATGATTGCTAGTTATGAATAGCTTTCAAAAATAATTACGGGATTTACTATGCAACCTCTCTAGGACATTCTGACAAGGACAGGATTATGCTGAAATATGTTTTTGTCCTCTGACTTTCAGCACCAGAAAAAGTAGTAAGGATAAAAAGTGAAATTTGTGAGGCCAGAAGCTAGATAGTTATCATAAATATTCTAATTATTGGAAGTATAAAAGTGTGGTTTCCAACTTTTAAAACAACTAACAGTAACAGCAAAATATATTTTGATCAATCATAGTTCTATTTTATAGAACCTATTATGAAATAACTTTCATTTTAAAAAGACAAAGCAAAAGTGTAGAAAACTATTTTAGAGTCTTTTAAGCAATGAATTAAAAACATTATTTTTCTAGCTGTTTTCTGGTATTTCTCAGCTTCTTAATCATTTTAGGCCTTTGTGATAGTTTTCATATCTTGAATTAACAGATATGAGAGTTTTGTTTTAAA